GGATTCAACAAAATCTAAAGTTGCACTTTATTTCTTTGATTACCATTCACTCACTACTTCAAAATCTCAATTTTAATTCTATACAAATTTTCATTTTTCTGCTCTATGTGCAGATTTCCAGAAGAGTGCAATGCAACCAGCAACAGGTTTTGCAAGAATGGGATTTATTTATTTCTTTGATCCATAGTCCAACAATAATTTTTGTTTTGTCACAGCCAATTTTCCTTTCTCTTAATAATCTACTTGCACCTTGGAGGCATTTGTTAGAGGTAAACCCTATGGTTATCACTACACAGCCAGTAAACATAGTAGCTGGCACTCCAATTTTCATCACAAAGGGAACATTAAACATGTCCACACGGCAAATTAGAACCCCCACCCCCCTGTAGTACCGGATATAGTGATCCTGCCCCAGATATCAGGACAAAGGATGTTGTACCAAAGGCCAGGACACGCCCCAGCACAAGTGGAGGTGTTTGACTCAAGACAAAAACACAGCCTGTATCCTACCACTGAAGGCAGGCCCACCACTCCTCATACCTTGTAAACATCTGTACTACTCCCCTTGAGGCTGTGAAGTCCACAGGACCACTGGTAGGAGCATCAACACTTCAGTGTGCTTCAGTATCTGTGAGGGTATGTCATGACACCAGGTGGTGGAGTGCTGAAGTTCTGGGAACCAGTGAACCCAAACCTGAACTGAAGAAGATAAGCCTCCAGAAGCAACATCAAGTACTGTTCCAACACAACCATAAGAAGACCGCCAACAATCACCTTGCAACAATCACCTGTCAATCAAATCATTGATAAGTACTGTACCGGCATCACGATACACGTTGTACTTCATGTTTCCAAAACAGCAGGAGTTTACCCCTGACCTACTCAATCTTTGGTTCAGGCTGTGACCTAGCAACTCTGCTGCACTCCATCCCTTCACAGCCTGAACCAATGATTGAACATTAGTTGAGAGGTCAAGGCTATCCCAGGGAGCTCAGGTGCAAGCAATGATTGGAAAAGGTGCTTTTATTTAAGTGTTAGCAGCAGAGGGAGCAGTATCTCTCTGAGTTTGCTCTTCTTTTGAGTTGTTACTAGTTTCTGGAAGGGGTGAGCTAATTTTTCTTCATTACCTGCTGCTATGGTTCTTGTAGGTTATGTGTGGTTACCTGTTAGGTATGGTCATATGGTCTTGTATGGTTACCTGCTATGGCGCTTCTATCCCATTAGAAAGCACTGTCATGACATTCTTTTGCCATGTGACTTAGTTTAAAATATTTCCTTAAGGTGACAGCCTTTTCTCAGTTCTGTTGCTTTATTTGTCAGTGCTGCTCTGCAAACCTTGCTGTGACTCCGGGCTAGGCCTGGCCACTCATCAGGGTAGAGCTGCTGCCGTGATAGATACAGCTGTAGGGGGTGCAAGTTGAGTTGGGATACACGTAGCATGTGGGTTACAGGTTGTGTATGCCTGAGTATCTAACTCACACTAAAATGTCTTGGCTGTATGCATGTGGTGGCTGGAATCCCTTGGCATTGTAGAAGCAAAGTTCAGAGCCAGAAAGTAAGGGAACGCAAAATTATGAAAAAAAGAAGAAATGATCTATGGAAAACTAATTGTTACAGATGTTCTTTGATCCTTGAAAATCATAAAAATAGTCTTGGGGAAAAAAGAAAAAAAGAAAAAAGCTGGTTTGGACTAACGGGCTTAAAGCAGGTCAGAAAAAGACTCGTGTAAATACTAAGGACAGAGAACTTTCTAAAAAGTAAGCAGCTAATCAGCAGTATTTAACCTGTAGGGAAAAATATTACTGTGCTTTGACTAATTATAGAAATATTTATAAGGCCCCATTCATTCATTCATTCATGCATTCATTCATGCATTCATTCAGCCTGGCCCCATCCACCCCTTGGCCAGGCTGGGCTGCTCCAGGAGGCAGATGATGTGGCAGGGTGAGCAGGTGGAAGTGTGAGCAAAATTGTTTTAGAGGCAGAATGTTCTTGTTTCACAGTATTGCATATATGCAAGCCTGCATTCAAGATGGAAGAAAGGGGCCTAGAATTTCAAAGAGATATGATGCAAAGTGGACAATGAGGGTCATTGCAAAAACTGTCCTTCTTTAGGGAACAAAACTTGCCTCCTTTTGAGTTTAATGACAGTCCTGCTATTGATTTGTGCGTGCCCTATCTATTCATTTTTCTGCCTCCCTGATTTTTTTTTTTTTTCCACTTTTGCTCAGATTAATGACTTGCTTCATTCCTTAACTTTATCCTCTCTTCCCAAAAAGTGTTGTCACTTAAACTGGCTTAGCATAGCTACTCTATTTATTCTATAACACCCCGAGTTTTACATTTCAGTTGAAAAATTCACTATCACTATAATCACCAGGAAGAAGAAATAGTTGCTTTAAACTTGTACAGAAGTAAGATCACTTCTGAAGAAGTAAGATCTCAATCCTGTCAGTCCTCCAACTGAGAGTGTGACAAATGGATGTCACAAAAGGAGAAAAAACACAATCATCTAGGAAATGTAAGGGTTAATGAAAGGTAATATGTCACTTCATGGCAATAGTAACACTTTTCTGATCATACAAAACAGGGACAGTCAGCAGTATGCTAGGGTTGCATTCAGGATGCAGTACTCCAGATGTGGTCTCACCAATGCAGAGCAGAGGGGCAGGATCATCTACCTTGACCTGCTGACCACCATTCTTTTGGTGCAGTCCAGGACAGGAGTGGCTTTCTGGGCTGTGAGGGTACACACTGCTAGTTCGTGTCCACTTGCTATTTACTAGTATCCCTATGCCCATTGTGGCAGGGCTGTTCTCTGTCCTTACATCCTTCAACTTGTACTGATACAAGGGGTTGGTTGCCATTACCCATGCGCAGTAGCTTGCACTTGGATTTTTTGAACCTCATGAGCTTTCTCCTTGTCCCACTGACAAAGCTGTCTAAGTCTCTCTGAGTGGCATCCCATCCCTCAGTCATCTTGACCTTATCACATAGCTTGTTGTCATCCACAAACTTGATGAGAATGTACTTGATCCCACTGTCAATGTCACTGCTGAAGATATTAAAGAGCATTGGTCCCACTACTGACCCCTGAGGAGCACCACTTGTTACTTTCTCTAGCCAGACATTGAGCCCATGACCACCACTCTCAAGGTATGACTAGACTAAACTTTGTTCATCAGTCCACCTTTCAAATCCACACATTTTGAATTTGAAAAGAAGGATATGATGGGGACTACGTCCAAGTCTCTACTGACATTAAGATAGATGACATCAAGCATTTTCCTCATCCGCTCATGTAGTTATGCCATCATGAAATGCACTAGTTCTCTTTTCAAAATTAGTTCTTTTTTGTAACACTGAACAGTATAAATTGTATTTTCTTTACGTAGCAGTAGCTAATAGCTTTTACCTGAAATGAGCGTGTTTCTGAAGAAACAAAAATTGGATATGCTACTTTTGAACATTTTCTATTTTTTCTTTGTCAAATCCTAACCATTTTAAATGCATAGGTTTTCTTCAGTTTTGTTTATTTTGCTTGCTAAGTCAGGGCTTGAAACCGTGATTGAGCACCTAGTAGTAAGGCAGGGCCAAGCCAGGGGAGCTCAAGTGTATGCAGTGCACATGAATGACCAGTATGGGTATTGACAGGATCTTCCTCTTCCCAGACCTCATTTAAGTGTTGGCAGTGGAGCTGAGGGTATCTCATCTGGAGATCCCTGCATAGCTGAGGCCTTCCAAGGATAAGCAGGTTTTTTTTCCTTATTTCTGTCTCCATGACTGCTCTGTTTAGCAAGTTTTCACTCACTGCAGCCTGGGGTCTTGCTACTCTGCTATCACTGTTGTGCTTTTCATTGTGTTACAACCACTAATTTAAGTGACTTGCTAAAACTCACAGGGCAAGGACAGTATTTAAGTGAGCCAGGAGATATTTGGCCTGGTATTTCATCTTCTTCTTCTTACAAAGTACCCTTGTGTGAGGAAGTTTGTGTGAGGAACATTTGTTTTGTGGAAGCTGATTCAGGAGAACTCAATTTTTAACATTCCAAAGGGAAATCTCTCTGGAGTTATGACTACAAGCAGGCAAGCAAGAACTGAATCTATTGTAGAAGTTTAGGACCATATGAAAAGACAGCTACATTAGTGAACTGGACTGCCTGCATGAGTATGCTCCCTGGGATTCAACAAAATCTAAAGTTGCACTTTATTTCTTTGATTACCATTCACTCACTACTTCAAAATCTCAATTTTAATTCTATACAAATTTTCATTTTTCTGCTCTATGTGCAGATTTCCAGAAGAGTGCAATGCAACCAGCAACAGGTTTTGCAAGAATGGGATTTATTTATTTCTTTGATCCATAGTCCAACAATAATTTTTGTTTTGTCACAGCCAATTTTCCTTTCTCTTAATAATCTACTTGCACCTTGGAGGCATTTGTTAGAGGTAAACCCTATGGTTATCACTACACAGCCAGTAAACATAGTAGCTGGCACTCCAATTTTCATCACAAAGGGAACATTAAACATGTCCACACGGCAAATTAGAACCCCCACCCCCCTGTAGTACCGGATATAGTGATCCTGCCCCAGATATCAGGACAAAGGATGTTGTACCAAAGGCCAGGACACGCCCCAGCACAAGTGGAGGTGTTTGACTCAAGACAAAAACACAGCCTGTATCCTACCACTGAAGGCAGGCCCACCACTCCTCATACCTTGTAAACATCTGTACTACTCCCCTTGAGGCTGTGAAGTCCACAGGACCACTGGTAGGAGCATCAACACTTCAGTGTGCTTCAGTATCTGTGAGGGTATGTCATGACACCAGGTGGTGGAGTGCTGGGAGTTCTGGGAACCAGTGAACCCAAACCTGAACTGAAGAAGATAAGCCTCCAGAAGCAACATCAAGTACTGTTCCAACACAACCATAAGAAGACCGCCAACAATCACCTTGCAACAATCACCTGTCAATCAAATCATTGATAAGTACTGTACCGGCATCACGATACACGTTGTACTTCATGTTTCCAAAACAGCAGGAGTTTACCCCTGACCTACTCAATCTTTGGTTCAGGCTGTGACCTAGCAACTCTGCTGCACTCCATCCCTTCACAGCCTGAACCAATGATTGAACATTAGTTGAGAGGTCAATGCTATCCCAGGGAGCTCAGGTGCAAGCAATGATTGGAAAAGGTGCTTTTATTTAAGTGTTAGCAGCAGAGGGAGCAGTATCTCTCTGAGTTTGCTCTTCTTTTGAGTTGTTACTAGTTTCTGGAAGGGGTGAGCTAATTTTTCTTCATTACCTGCTGCTATGGTTCTTGTAGGTTATGTATGGGTTACCTGTTAGGTATGGTCATATGGTCTTGTATGGTTACCTGCTATGGCGCTTCTATCCCATTAGAAAGCACTGTCATGACATTCTTTTGCCATGTGACTTAGTTTAAAATATTTCCTTAAGGTGACAGCCTTTTCTCAGTTCTGTTGCTTTATTTGTCAGTGCTGCTCTGCAAACCTTGCTGTGACTCCGGGCTAGGCCTGGCCACTCATCAGGGTAGAGCTGCTGCCGTGATAGATACAGCTGTAGGGGGTGCAAGTTGAGTTGGGATACACGTAGCATGTGGGTTACAGGTTGTGTATGCCTGAGTATCTAACTCACACTAAAATGTCTTGGCTGTATGCATGTGGTGGCTGGAATCCCTTGGCATTGTAGAAGCAAAGTTCAGAGCCAGAAAGTAAGGGAACGCAAAATTATGAAAAAAAGAAGAAATGATCTATGGAAAACTAATTGTTACAGATGTTCTTTGATCCTTGAAAATCATAAAAATAGTCTTGGGGAAAAAAGAAAAAAAGAAAAAAGCTGGTTTGGACTAACGGGCTTAAAGCAGGTCAGAAAAAGACTCGTGTAAATACTAAGGACAGAGAACTTTCTAAAAAGTAAGCAGCTAATCAGCAGTATTTAAGCTGTAGGGAAAAATATTACTGTGCTTTGACTAATTATAGAAATATTTATAAGGCCCCATTCATTCATTCATTCATGCATTCATTCATGCATTCATTCAGCCTGGCCCCATCCACCCCTTGGCCAGGCTGGGCTGCTCCAGGAGGCAGATGATGTGGCAGGGTGAGCAGGTGGAAGTGTGAGCAAAATTGTTTTAGAGGCAGAATGTTCTTGTTTCACAGTATTGCATATATGCAAGCCTGCATTCAAGATGGAAGAAAGGGGCCTAGAATTTCAAAGAGATATGATGCAAAGTGGACAATGAGGGTCATTGCAAAAACTGTCCTTCTTTAGGGAACAAAACTTGCCTCCTTTTGAGTTTAATGACAGTCCTGCTATTGATTTGTGCGTGCCCTATCTATTCATTTTTCTGCCTCCCTGATTTTTTTTTTTTTTCCACTTTTGCTCAGATTAATGACTTGCTTCATTCCTTAACTTTATCCTCTCTTCCCAAAAAGTGTTGTCACTTAAACTGGCTTAGCATAGCTACTCTATTTATTCTATAACACCCCGAGTTTTACATTTCAGTTGAAAAATTCACTATCACTATAATCACCAGGAAGAAGAAATAGTTGCTTTAAACTTGTACAGAAGTAAGATCACTTCTGAAGAAGTAAGATCTCAATCCTGTCAGTCCTCCAACTGAGAGTGTGACAAATGGATGTCACAAAAGGAGAAAAAACACAATCATCTAGGAAATGTAAGGGTTAATGAAAGGTAATATGTCACTTCATGGCAATAGTAACACTTTTCTGATCATACAAAACAGGGACAGTCAGCAGTATGCTAGGGTTGCATTCAGGATGCAGTACTCCAGATGTGGTCTCACCAATGCAGAGCAGAGGGGCAGGATCATCTACCTTGACCTGCTGACCACCATTCTTTTGGTGCAGTCCAGGACAGGAGTGGCTTTCTGGGCTGTGAGGGTACACACTGCTAGTTCGTGTCCACTTGCTATTTACTAGTATCCCTATGCCCATTGTGGCAGGGCTGTTCTCTGTCCTTACATCCTTCAACTTGTACTGATACAAGGGGTTGGTTGCCATTACCCATGCGCAGTAGCTTGCACTTGGATTTTTTGAACCTCATGAGCTTTCTCCTTGTCCCACTGACAAAGCTGTCTAAGTCTCTCTGAGTGGCATCCCATCCCTCAGTCATCTTGACCTTATCACATAGCTTGTTGTCATCCACAAACTTGATGAGAATGTACTTGATCCCACTGTCAATGTCACTGCTGAAGATATTAAAGAGCATTGGTCCCACTACTGACCCCTGAGGAGCACCACTTGTTACTTTCTCTAGCCAGACATTGAGCCCATGACCACCACTCTCAAGGTATGACTAGACTAAACTTTGTTCATCAGTCCACCTTTCAAATCCACACATTTTGAATTTGAAAAGAAGGATATGATGGGGACTACGTCCAAGTCTCTACTGACATTAAGATAGATGACATCAAGCATTTTCCTCATCCGCTCATGTAGTTATGCCATCATGAAATGCACTAGTTCTCTTTTCAAAATTAGTTCTTTTTTGTAACACTGAACAGTATAAATTGTATTTTCTTTACGTAGCAGTAGCTAATAGCTTTTACCTGAAATGAGCGTGTTTCTGAAGAAACAAAAATTGGATATGCTACTTTTGAACATTTTCTATTTTTTCTTTGTCAAATCCTAACCATTTTAAATGCATAGGTTTTCTTCAGTTTTGTTTATTTTGCTTGCTAAGTCAGGGCTTGAAACCGTGATTGAGCACCTAGTAGTAAGGCAGGGCCAAGCCAGGGGAGCTCAAGTGTATGCAGTGCACATGAATGACCAGTATGGGTATTGACAGGATCTTCCTCTTCCCAGACCTCATTTAAGTGTTGGCAGTGGAGCTGAGGGTATCTCATCTGGAGATCCCTGCATAGCTGAGGCCTTCCAAGGATAAGCAGGTTTTTTTTCCTTATTTCTGTCTCCATGACTGCTCTGTTTAGCAAGTTTTCACTCACTGCAGCCTGGGGTCTTGCTACTCTGCTATCACTGTTGTGCTTTTCATTGTGTTACAACCACTAATTTAAGTGACTTGCTAAAACTCACAGGGCAAGGACAGTATTTAAGTGAGCCAGGAGATATTTGGCCTGGTATTTCATCTTCTTCTTCTTACAAAGTACCCTTGTGTGAGGAAGTTTGTGTGAGGAACATTTGTTTTGTGGAAGCTGATTCAGGAGAACTCAATTTTTAACATTCCAAAGGGAAATCTCTCTGGAGTTATGACTACAAGCAGGCAAGCAAGAACTGAATCTATTGTAGAAGTTTAGGACCATATGAAAAGACAGCTACATTAGTGAACTGGACTGCCTGCATGAGTATGCTCCCTGGGATTCAACAAAATCTAAAGTTGCACTTTATTTCTTTGATTACCATTCACTCACTACTTCAAAATCTCAATTTTAATTCTATACAAATTTTCATTTTTCTGCTCTATGTGCAGATTTCCAGAAGAGTGCAATGCAACCAGCAACAGGTTTTGCAAGAATGGGATTTATTTATTTCTTTGATCCATAGTCCAACAATAATTTTTGTTTTGTCACAGCCAATTTTCCTTTCTCTTAATAATCTACTTGCACCTTGGAGGCATTTGTTAGAGGTAAACCCTATGGTTATCACTACACAGCCAGTAAACATAGTAGCTGGCACTCCAATTTTCATCACAAAGGGAACATTAAACATGTCCACACGGCAAATTAGAACCCCCACCCCCCTGTAGTACCGGATATAGTGATCCTGCCCCAGATATCAGGACAAAGGATGTTGTACCAAAGGCCAGGACATGCCCCAGCACAAGTGGAGGTGTTTGACTCAAGACAAAAACACAGCCTGTATCCTACCACTGAAGGCAGGCCCACCACTCCTCATACCTTGTAAACATCTGTACTACTCCCCTTGAGGCTGTGAAGTCCACAGGACCACTGGTAGGAGCATCAACACTTCAGTGTGCTTCAGTATCTGTGAGGGTATGTCATGACACCAGGTGGTGGAGTGCTGAAGTTCTGGGAACCAGTGAACCCAAACCTGAACTGAAGAAGATAAGCCTCCAGAAGCAACATCAAGTACTGTTCCAACACAACCATAAGAAGACCGCCAACAATCACCTTGCAACAATCACCTGTCAATCAAATCATTGATAAGTACTGTACCGGCATCACGATACACGTTGTACTTCATGTTTCCAAAACAGCAGGAGTTTACCCCTGACCTACTCAATCTTTGGTTCAGGCTGTGACCTAGCAACTCTGCTGCACTCCATCCCTTCACAGCCTGAACCAATGATTGAACATTAGTTGAGAGGTCAATGCTATCCCAGGGAGCTGAGGTGCAAGCAATGATTGGAAAAGGTGCTTTTATTTAAGTGTTAGCAGCAGAGGGAGCAGTATCTCTCTGAGTTTGCTCTTCTTTTGAGTTGTTACTAGTTTCTGGAAGGGGTGAGCTAATTTTTCTTCATTACCTGCTGCTATGGTTCTTGTAGGTTATGTATGGGTTACCTGTTAGGTATGGTCATATGGTCTTGTATGGTTACCTGCTATGGCGCTTCTATCCCATTAGAAAGCACTGTCATGACATTCTTTTGCCATGTGACTTAGTTTAAAATATTTCCTTAAGGTGACAGCCTTTTCTCAGTTCTGTTGCTTTATTTGTCAGTGCTGCTCTGCAAACCTTGCTGTGACTCCGGGCTAGGCCTGGCCACTCATCAGGGTAGAGCTGCTGCCGTGATAGATACAGCTGTAGGGGGTGCAAGTTGAGTTGGGATACACGTAGCATGTGGGTTACAGGTTGTGTATGCCTGAGTATCTAACTCACACTAAAATGTCTTGGCTGTATGCATGTGGTGGCTGGAATCCCTTGGCATTGTAGAAGCAAAGTTCAGAGCCAGAAAGTAAGGGAACGCAAAATTATGAAAAAAAGAAGAAATGATCTATGGAAAACTAATTGTTACAGATGTTCTTTGATCCTTGAAAATCATAAAAATAGTCTTGGGGAAAAAAGAAAAAAAGAAAAAAGCTGGTTTGGACTAACGGGCTTAAAGCAGGTCAGAAAAAGACTCGTGTAAATACTAAGGACAGAGAACTTTCTAAAAAGTAAGCAGCTAATCAGCAGTATTTAAGCTGTAGGGAAAAATATTACTGTGCTTTGACTAATTATAGAAATATTTATAAGGCCCCATTCATTCATTCATTCATGCATTCATTCATGCATTCATTCAGCCTGGCCCCATCCACCCCTTGGCCAGGCTGGGCTGCTCCAGGAGGCAGATGATGTGGCAGGG